ATGACACAAAGTGCTGTCATTCCCAAAAGTCGCTGCGTGAACCCTAAACCCCTAAACCCTAAACCCTAAACTCGAAACCCTCAACCCCTCCACGCGTTAAACCCAAAGCCCTGCCATGAATCGCAAACGCCAGACTCGCTTCATTGTGGTTTCTTTTTGGGATTACCTTATAGGATCCTAAATATAAAGCACGAGAAGGAACTACCATTTAGCCTATGGGTATAATGCGATTAAGGACCATGCTCATAGTTTTGTCTTCTCAGAATTCTGCAATCCACCTCCATGTTTGCGCTGACCAAGTTTTATGGTTAGGATCCCACAATAAAAACCGGTCAACCGAGAACAAGAACTACAGTGGAGAAGATAGGTACTATCGATGTGGGTAGGTTTCTAAATCAGAATCCTTTTCAGGGTCGTGGTTATAAGGGTGCCATAGTCTTTTGGGGGACTGAAAATGGGCCCCTAGAGTAGAGAACTACCCATGTCAATGTACAAGATGCTGCAGCACCCTATGCATCCCAAACTATGGGGTTAACGGCCTCCTATGTTGAAGCGGCCCGGCTAAGCCCGAAAATGAGCAAGAAGCGTTGACTAATGTACAGGCCATGCTCATTAGAATAAAGGGTCATAGGTCATAGGCCTAGTGTAGGAGCTCTGAGGAAAAGCATTGGCAATAACTCAGGCATTCATATACTATGCCCTTTAGGGCTTAGGGTTTAGGCTTTGCCCTAAACCCTAAACCTTAAAGAAGACGTCAAAAGGAGACGAGATCTAAACTCCGGCTTCCCGGTGAAACTTGGCTCCCAGACTTGACACATGCCCTGCACAGCCTTCGCAGTGCAGAGCGCTTTCACCTGAATGGTTGGTAGGGCTGATGATCTAAATCCTGCAGTACCCATAATAAGGAAGATTCCATAACTCCCATAGTTTAGGGTCCTTAAGGTAATGCAGGATTTATATCATCAACAGTAGGGTTAAGGTTTGGGGTTTAGGGGTTTCATGGCTCTGCCAACTTCTCGGCTGGGTATAAGCATAGGCATCTAGATTGATGAAGCTTTCTGCTAGGTGATCAGGGTGCAAGATTCTAAGTTTAACTGGGGATTCAAAGTTGTCACACAAAGATCGACTTCAAGGTGTGCAAGGCTTTGAAGTTTGGGACCTTGGTTGCAGCTTCCAGCCCAACGCGCCCAGTGCACCTCGGCTAACGGACTGATTCGGTTCCTCGACTCTTATTCTTTGCTTTTGGTCTGAGGAGCGTCCCGGCTCGCCTGATCATCAACACCGCCCATCGTCCATCAGAGTTGCCTATAGTCTCCTATAAAAAAGGCCCCAAGAAGGACCTAAAATGGAGACCACAGGTGGAGGACAGGCTTGTCTAGAGGTGAACGCTTCCTCGAAGCCCTGCCTTGGTCCCTAAGGCTGATTCACCAACTCCATCGGTTCGCTTCCGGCATTCAAGAGATATGCTAAAGGTGCTTGTCGGTGCTCCCCGCCCATCTACTTACTTCCCCAATAAGACCACTACATTCAAAGTTTAAGGGTTGGGTATTGGGGAACTAAGTCTAGCTTGGAAGATCAAACGGATGGGGCTGGAGCCATCTCGAAAAGCGGTACACGAAAAATATTCTAGCCTCTCAACATACCTGGACTCCAAATGCAAAGAACGACAGCCCTAGTGCTGCATCGACCCAAAAAGAACCATCTCACCCTCGCGTGCACGCCACTATTCCTGGTTCGTTAAGCATCCATCGCTTTGAGCTTAACAAGCACCCTGAGAAAAAACAATAACAAACAAAAATAACGATAAACCCATCCATACACACAGAACTAATGTGAACAACTATACGACAAAACAAGCTGCTCAACCCTCACGGCTACAGGCTCTTCATAGCAAAGCTCCGTCCAAAACCCTTAAACTCGAGACAAGGTTGCTTTCAAAACCGAAGGCGGAGGGTTTAGGGTTTAGGGTATTTGGGCTCCTTTGAACCGTTTCGGTGCTTCTTACCGACTTACGAAAGCAACAACACCGGCCTCGCCAATCACTTCCTTGAAGTGCTCCTGCGGATGCAAAGATTTCGTGGGGCTAGGGGTTTAGGGTTTGGGCGGTTAGGGTTGAGGGTCAGCAAGAAGGACGCTACATTCAGTAGCCCGTAGTGGAAGTCTTCTCGAAGTTCCGGTTGTCCACTCCTACGATATGGGCGTTTCAGAAGATCTCGGACCTTCATGTAAGCCCCACAGTAGCAGTAGCAGTCTCCCTATCATTGCCTATCATCGGGATTTCGGATCAGCTTCAAGACCAAATGGCTCCCTTAGTTGATTGCCGCAGCCCACTTGCCCTGTCCCTGACGGGTGCACGTACCCAAATAGCATATTCCTTGGCCTTGAAGTAATCCCTATATGGGTACTTTGGGGTCTAAAGTATCTACTACTGTGTGGGCACATGGACTCTTTGGGTGAAGGAGGTGGTGGGGCTATTCTGGTAGACTGTCGGCTAAGATTTCAGAGTGTGCCTGGTCTAAAGGAATGGTTGCGGGGCTTTGTCGGGATACCTACAGGGCTTGACAGGATTTCATATAATCTGGCCTCTGAAATAGAGCGGGCGGTTTTGAGTCGAAGCACTTTGCTGGGCTTTGTCACCCGTCTGAGGGCTTGCAGATCACACGACATGGGAGACTGGGTTGCACGTGGGATAAGCTCGGGGCGTTTATGATTCCTCTTCTCACCCGCACCCCCAGACTTCGAACCGAATTAACCCACTTCGCTCAAGCTTCCCTACCCCCATACAAACCTGGAGCCGAAGGTTAATTATCTGAGAACAAAAGGGTGATGATGGCGAACCACCCCTCATGACAGCCTCACTCTCTTGAGCTCTGCATGACGGACCATTTCGCAGGTAATTAGGGTCTAGGGCTTGGGGTTTAGAAGCGGCAGAAGCATGGCTGACCCAGCCAAGCCCTGCAGTAGTTCAGGAGCCTCCCTTGGCTTGGACGACGACTCGCAACATCCCATGGCGCAGTTGAAGCTCGTTTCATCGGGAGAAATTTGCGCAGATAACATATCTGAAAACAGCTGCAACACAAGCTGCCAGCGATCGGCCCGGTAACACGAGCAAAGCGCGGCATTGAAGGTGATCCGGTTGGGAATGGCACTGACCTGGTGCATGTCGATAAGCAGGCATAACACCCAGGGCCACTGGAGTCCCTTCTCACATGCACTGATGGCGGCACTGAAGGTGGTTGTGTTTGGTCTCAGCTTTGATGGTCTCATCTTGGTCAGAAGTGTCAGGGCCCACTGCCACCTTGCAGCTTTTTCAGCTGCACTTATGGTCGCATTGTAGGAAATCTCGTTTGGAGACAGCCTGGCAGAGTGCATCTCGAAAAGCAGGGCAAGGGCTTTCTGCCACTGCCATCCCTTCTCACAAGCACTGATTGCAGCGTTGTAGGTGACCGTGTTTGATTGCAGCCGCCTGCCGCGCAGCATCCCGAGCAGGTGAACTGCGAGCTGCCAGAAGCTGGACTTTTCGCAGGCACTGATGCAGCAACCGAATGTAATGATGTCAGGCTTTACCATCACATGTGGCATCTCTGTCAGCTTGCAGACTGCTTGTGCCCAAGCACCTTCTTCATCGCAGGCACTCACGGTGGCGTTGTAGGTAACTTGGTCAGGCACACAACTGCGTATTGGTAAAGAAGAAGAAAGCTGAAATGCCACTTGCCAGTCTGCTGCAGCTGTACTGATGGTCACATTACAGATGATGGTGTGAAGCTTCACTTGACCGAAAGCCATGGCTGCAAGGACTTGCAGGGCTAACTGCCAGAAGCCGGCCTTTTCACAAGCTCCGATGCTGGATGTGTAGGTGAGCTGGTCGGGATCATGTCTGGAGGTGCCTGCTGCAGCTAGAAGTGAGAAAGCCCCCTTCCACTGTGTGGCATTCGCAGGTCCGCTCGCAGCAGAGGTGTAAACCTCGCTTTCTACTGGCTCTTGTCTACTGAGATTGAGATTGATAAAATCCTCGTACGAGGAACCCGACTGTAGAACAAGCCTAGCAAGCTCTGCAACAGCCTGCACAGTTACCAACCTTAACCCCTAAACCCTGAACTCCATCATTTTTGGTTTTAGGGCTGCTGCTAGCAGGCCCTGGCCGAAGTCCATGGACAAGAAGCCTATCTTAGAACCTGCACTTTAGGGTTTTAGGTTTGGAATAGAAAACGGACTTGCCCCAATGAGCAGGCTACTGCGATTGAAAGGTGCAATGCAAAACAAACTCTCAACAGGTTTGCGAACCAAAAAGGAATGTCATGAAAGGAAAGGCGGTAGTAGTAAAAACAAATTTTCCCTCGCAAGGAAACCTGCAACGTCTCTTTTGCGTCTTTCTCAGATGGAAAGTGCATGAACCAAAAAACAGCAAGCAACAAGGGAATTTTAGCATGCCCGAGGGCGGGGAAGCAAGATCCGAAACACCAACTGCCAAACGTAAACCCTAGACGCCCGAAGCTCCAGAGTTACTTAAATCCTACAAAAACTACCAAAAACCTGATGATGCAGAGTTTTCGTAACCTCTTCTTAGACATCCCAATATATAGAATTCATAAGGGCCCCGCAACAACAAGTAGGTTTTAGTAGCGTAAGGTAAGCCCGAATGTCTGACAGGGCCGGCGACCACTTTGTTGGGCCAAATGCTGGCCGCAGGCATCACCTGCATCATGTTATACCCAATCGGTGCAGGTACCCAAATAGTAACATGTCCCAAACGTCGTCTCCAATTGGGTACTTTAAGGCCAAAGTACATACTATTTTGGGTACATGGACTCGTACAGTAGGGAAGTGTAGCCGTGTGGGCGTCTAAGGCGTGTGCGGGTTGCGCCTGACGGCTTAGGACTTGAGGGATAAATGCCGATCCCCAAGTACTATCGAACCTAGTTCCTGAATGAGGTATATATATATATACACCGTACGTACTCACACTGCTCTTCCGGCATCTCCCAATAGCTTTTTGCTGATTAAGGAATATACCGGAAAGCATGATATGATTCCAAATATGATGTAAGGTATATTCTTTGATTAAGGGATCTTGCAAGATATGGACTTACGACGGATTTCAGCGCCTCCAGAAGAGAGAGGCTTCTCTGCCAGGGACCCTCTTGCAAGGCAGCGGCAGTTGCACCGTAGCTGAAGGCATCAGGGACGAACCGCTGATTTTGGAGATTTGAAAGGAGATCCAAGGCGAAATGCCAGTGTTCCGTACCACAGGCGCTGATGGTGGAGTTGAAGGTGATCAAGTTGGGTGAAGGGTGGCTGAAGTTCATATCTCGAAGAAGGTGGAGGGGTTGCTGCCATTGCTTCTGCCTCATGCAGCTGGCCATGGAAATGCCGAAACTCTTCGCCGTCAGTCGCAAGGAGGCAGTGGCCAGCTGCTCCAACCCATCGATCGCGCGTGCCCAGGTGCTGGTCTCCCTATGTACAGCCATGGCGTGAGGGACGGGTGGAGAGAATCGAAATAACCCTGTGCTATATAGGTAACTGTTACCGGAAAGCTGAAACAAAACAGATGAATGCTTTCACTTTAACTGTCTGCGCCTACATGCCCCTTGTTGGACCACGACAGCAGCCAGGTACAAGTGGGTTCAGGGTTTGGGGCTTACAGGGTGGAAGGTGTAAAGACTTAAGCGTTGAGGGATGTTGTGGGTTGATGAATTGAACTTTCAAGGTTCAGCACCTGGGGCCTGGGACTCACTACTTGGACACACCTAGAACGACCAATGCGCCTGAAAAGAGTCGTCTAAACAAGTTTGTTCCTAGATACAGTGGTTACACCTTGCAGCAACGATCGAACCCATCATTACATCGCCGCCCACATTCAAGCCTCGAACAATGAAGACACCCATCGTTCATAGATTGTTGCCAGACATCGGCTGTGAACCCGGTTGCAAGACACGCCCTACAAGCGCCCACCAACCATGCAGCTGGCAACCCATGTCCTGATCATGGCGATGCTCTTCCGATTTCCCCTGCGACAAGAGACGACGCAAAAGAGCAAAGGCAAGGAGAGGTTTCAGTTTCAGCACATCTCTCTGTGCCTATTTCTATTTCTATTTATCTCTACCTATCTCTGTCTATGCATATACACATACAGTTCCTAATTAAATCGATGTGCGTATACCGTATACACGTATATATATATATTTATTTATTTATTTATATATGTGTGTGTGTACAAAGAGAAAGAGAGAGAGAGAGAGAGAGAGAGAGAGAGGGAGGCCTTAGATGGCTTGAAGCTTGAACGCTTCTATGGATTCTGGGCACATAGCCCATAGCTGAGCCCGAAGCTGTTACCTCCTGTCCTGGTTGATCAGTCCAGGTGTTGATCCTGAAAGAAGGTAACCCAGACCGAAGTATACACTTGAGGCTCTGAGTCAGCATGATGGGACGGAGCATTGGTCTGGGATCTTGCGTCTCCAAGAAGCACCCGGGAATTCCTTTGATTTCGTACTTGTTTTGTACCATCAGAATTCTATCACCTTCAGTACTGTTTCGCGGGGATCGGCTACATCTTTGAATGTCACATTTCGACGGAGCTGACTTGCGTTGGGTTCAGGGTTTAGGGGTCAATTTAGGGTTTGAAAGTTTAGGGCTTGAGAATGGGCCGAGACCCCATTAATGCTGGTCAACGAGGCGTAGCTTAGTTCTGTTTCGTGGACCCCCGCATGTGAGCGCTGATGTTCGTGAAAGCTGGGCCAATAGGACCAGAACGAGGCCTTGCTGACTGGCTGCAGCACAACACTCTACTGCAGCCTCCAAGGTCACCGCGTCTGTCAGAGACCTGGAAGACATCTCCGCCAGCAGGCATAATGCGCACTCCCACTGCAGTGCTTTGCGACACGACTCGATGGCAGCATTGACAGAGAGGCCATTGGGGGGCAAAGCATGTCCGTCCATCCTTGCCAGCAGACGGAGGGCAAGCTGCCATCTGCTAGCTTTTTCGCAGGCACTGATGCATGCACTGAGCGTATACTCGTTAGGTCTGATCGTTTCGGACGTGTCTCCTAGCAGGTGCAGTGCTTGCTCCCATTGCCCGCACTTCTCACAAGCACTAATAGTAGAGCTGCATGCAACGACGTCGGCTTGAACTGCAGTCTTTAGGTTAGTAAAGATCTGCAAGGCCCAGTCCCAGAACATTGCTTTCTCACCGGAGCTGATGGTTCCGCTGTAAGTGATGACGTCGGGCAACGTCGAGAGCTTTACCATGTGGTTCAAGAGCCCCAAACACGCCTGCCACTCGCTAGCTTTCTCGCAGGAGCTAACAGCAGAACCGTAGGTGACTTCACTGGGCGCTGCCCGACTTCCACAGAGTTCAAGCAAGAGGAACAATGCCTGCTGCCATTGGCAGCTTTTCTCGCTAGCACTAACAGCTGCGCTGTAGCTGATTCGGTTTGCCACCATCGTTGAAGCCTGAATCTGCCTCAGCATCCGAAATGCGAGAGACCAACGGGTGCCCTTCTCGCATGCACTTATCAAAGCACTTAGAGTAACAGTGTTGGGACGGAGTCCGACCTCTTTGCAGTTTCCCACAGTCTCCAGAGCCATCTGCCAGCGTGCATTTTTGGCATATGTGTCGACTCGAATGCTGTATGTGATCTCGTCAGGAGGCAACAATAGCACCCGCATCTTCCACAGAAGCAAACCAGCTTGAGACCAGACTCCTACTTGCTGACATGCGGTGCCGGCAGCCCCACAAGTGATCTGGTCTGGTCGCAGGCCTGCAGCCAGCACACCCCGTTCCAAGAGGCCGAGGGCGGATTGCCATCTCCGCAGCCGGGCGAAGCCGGTGATCTTCAGATTTTGTTGTCGCAGGCGAGTGTCCTCCCCAGGCAGGAGTCCCATCTAGCCCTTCATGCCCTTCACAGCATCCTCCGCCCTGCCCTTCTTTCTTGGGGAGCTCTCCGCGGTCTTGCCATAGATACGAGACTTCGTGCATGTCGGCCCATGTGCCCGAAGGCTTCACACAATCCGCACGCTGTTAGGAAGTTTCCTGAGGCATAATTATGTTACTATGACTATTGTTATTATTGTTATTATTAAATTGTTATCAGTATTTTTATAAAAAGGAGTCAGCGGAGGGTCTGTCCCATACAAGATGTAATCAGATTGCCTGTCCGCCCAATCTCCTGAGATTCGCTGTCCTGGGGTTTAGGATTTATTTCGATGTGGCATGTGTACCTACACACTCTGTGTGGCGGTGAAGGTGACCATGCCGGTTATTTCTTTACACTTTGCATACTCGATATTTACAGAGCCTGTTTCGTCAAGCTATCCAGACAAGAATGCTGGATCGTAAGAACCTGCATCTGGGCAAAGCTGTGTTCCTGAACCGAGGGGTATTGTGCTCTCTGGCTACGGTCATTGCTGTTGGGCCCGAGGTCACAACTCGAGAGGACGACGTCTGACTCACCGAAACCGACAACCACAGTCGCAATCTCCATTCTAGTTCCTTTTCGGGGGTTGCCTTATAGGTTCTAAATAATCAAATTGGATAAACCAAAACAAGGAACTACGATGGAGACTACAGGTACAAGCTCTGCTACTTCGGCGATCATTTGGGCTGTTGGCGTTGTCGAAGCAGTGCCTATGTTTCGTGGTGGCCAGGGTTCAGGGTTTAGGACCAGGATATCTGCATCTGCACCAGTTCAGTGCCAGCAGTACCTTCAAATAAGCATGCTCAAGTGCGACAACTGTACTTGTGGCAACTTTAACCAGACTGAAAATAAGCATGAAGCAGCAGGAATGCTTAGTAGCTGAGTGCCCTGGGCCANNCCAGCAACATGCCGCACTGTGAGCCCCCGGCCTGCGTCAGCCGCGCGCCAAAAGCAAGTTGCGACACCGATGATAGCAAAACCAGGCGCCTGGGAAAGCAGCGAAACGGCTTCTGGCCGAGGACATCAGGCGGTTTCTGTAGAACTCTTCCTAGGTTTCTTGGGGTTTTGGGTCTGCAGGGGTTTGAGGGTTTAGTGGTGCAGCGGTTTAGGGGTTGAGCGTTTAACTGATAAGCACGTGCGAGCTGGAAAGAAGCCTTCGTAGAAACTGCCCCCCCCCCCCCCCTATCGTCATGCACCACCCATGGCATCACGAGTATTAAGATGTCACCCTGCCCTGAACTCTAATTCAACCGCATCTATTTTAATGGCCCTGCAGCTGTCATCATGTCCACCACAGTCATCATCACCACAATGATCTCGTGATCTCGTCGTCTGCCCCGCCCTGTCAAACACTCATCACGGACATCTTCACGAATATACTGGATCGTCTTCATCATTGCCAACGACATCGTCTTCACCAAGCTCATCACGATTCCTGTTCCTTGGCCGTTGCATGAAGGGTGTTGCTAGGGCCTCATGCGGATATCCCATATAATCCCCTTATGGTGAGGCGCGATAATTCAGACACCGATATCCTTGTAACTTGCTTATGCCAGGTCCTTTGGGGTGGGCCCCTGGTTGGTATGAAGACTGCACAGAAAGCTTACGACTCCTTAGTATAGTAAGGAACAGACCTGAATAGTAACTATAGGGTCCTTAATAGTATGGTTAACATGGTTTAAGGCACAATCCTCTTTAAGGCATAGACCTTAAACTAGAGGGGTCTCAATCTTCTGACTTAAGGTATATTCCT